CTTGAGACTCCTATTGATTTTGATGAGGTTTGAGGATAAATGCTGACAAATGTAACATAATGTCAGAATTTGCATTTTCCTAAGCTTTGTCTAGACTTGGATTTGGAGGGTGGTATGCACCATGTGACATACAATGTAGTTAAGGCAATGTGATTTTAATGGACAGCTTTAAAGTTGGTTGTTTTTCAGGAAGCTATTACTACATTGTATTTAGCACTTGCTAATTTAGAAACCATCGATGGTAAATGAAAAGAGAGGTTACAAATCAAAGGCAGGCTGATCCTGTGGTTGCACCTTTCAGATGTGGCCTCCTGCTGCACACAGGGCTATTTCACCTCTGACAGAACAGAAATAAGGGCTCTCAAATAGAATAATAGGGCTCTCAAATAGAAATAAGGGTTCTCAAAATAGAAATAAGCCCTATATGGTACTACTTCCTCAGAGAAGTGGTGGAATCACTGTCCCTGGAAGTGTTAAAACACATGTGACACTTAGGGACATGGTTTAGTAGTGGACCTGGCAGTGCTGGATCAATAGCTGGGCTTAAGATGACCTTAGAGGTCTTTCCCAACCTCAGTGATTCTGTGATTCCATGTGTTGGCTGTAAGAGGCAGTGGGGCCATGTGTGGGTGTTGGGGGTGTGGGTCTACAAGGGGTTAACAAGTAGGTGTGCTGGGATGGCACCTGGGGAGCAGGAGTGAATGGCAGGACAGAGACATTGAGTGTGCAGGCTTCAGGCACAGATTTGGGCTTGGGGGAGAGCAGTGGTTGTGGTCCCTGGAGCAGTGAGGGTGAGGCTGTTGTGGCAGTGGGTGCACTGAAGGGACATCATCCTGTGCCCAGAAAGTCCCAGCATATGAATTTCTTAAAATACTACCAGCATCTCCAGCTCCTCCACAGCTCTGCCAAGAAGTCTCCTCTACCAGTAACCCCAGAACTTTTGCCATCTGGGTTGGCCAGCTAGGCAGGCTGAGGCTCTGAAGGCACAAGGCCTTGCCTGGAGCTCTCACACAGAGCCGGGAGCTGAATTCCAAGCAGAGGAGTCTGACAGCTGTTCCCTTCAGCTATCACCCATCCTTGGTACACCCAGACCTGTTTGATGGAACCTGATACATTTTCCCATTAGCCAAGAACTATAATTCAGGGAAAATCCAGCATCCTGAACTAAGCAGATGCTGCCCAGGAGGCAGAGGGGCTCACAGTTACCTCTCATAAAATTCTCTTCTGTGAATTTTCCCATCTCCACATTGCTGGTGGTGACACGTTGATACTCTGGGACAGTGGGACCAAGGGGAAAGATTGCTCCAAGTACTACAGTTAGCAGGAATTGTCCCCTGTGAAGTCCTACTGATCCATCATGAGGGGCCATTCTGGATACTGGAGTTACACTTCACTCACTACTCAAACTGGAGCCCAAACCCAGCCCTTTCAACCCAACAGAACCAAAGTGCTCTGACTTCCAGCCACAAAATTCAGTGCTTGGTACACCAATTTATAGATGTCCTCACAGAAATCAGTGTTAATCCAGATGTGTCATTTGGGCCTCCAGCTGACTGTGACAGAGTTCTCTTTTCTTTCCCTAAATTAATTTGAAATTTCATCTTAGTGTTGTTTACAGCATCAAAGTTTGCAGAATGTGCCATGTCAAAATAGAGGTATGACACTCATTGGTACTTGAACTCTGCCTGATGCATCAAGAGTTGATTTTTCATTACTGGGCTCTGTGTCCCTCACTCTGCTTTTCAATCTGTCATGCAGTCACTGGTCATGTAAATGTCTGTGCAAACATACTGAACATGAGTAATGCATCATCTGTTATTACAATACAGAATTAATTAAGAGTATGAAAGTTTTTGTCTAAAAAAAATACCTATGGAGGAAACATTTTCATATCCATTCTCTCCTAAAGGCAGCATCCTTTGGGAAGATGTGATAGACACATTTAGGTAAATATCATTCCTCCAGCACACATGGTTTCCATTGCAATTGATCCCCTGCTGTTTCCTTCCAAGCACTTTCCTCTGTTACATAATTCCACAATGGTGACTGAAATACTGATCAGCGATAGAGAGACAAATGGACTCCAGCAACTGGGAGTTTTAAATGTTTATATCTGAGGTTTTATGTACTGTAGTCACTGAAATACAGTTTTTAGGCATGCACTGAAATTTTCAGTGGCATTGAAAGTCTGAATTCGCTTGAGTTATAATTTAGTAAAGGGATAGAATGAATAAAGGCTGACTGAGTGAGATGAGACTTAAAGACAGTGCACTACAAAGCAGCACATGGGCCCAAAAGCTCTGTAGAAAATGCTTCCTCCTGTAGGCTCCCCTTAGGGCTGGGAACAGCTTGGGTGCTTCACACAGACCCAGCACTGAGCCATGTGTGAGCTGCCTGAAACTTGGGGGTCACAAGCTTCTCACTGCAAAATAGCAGAATAAAAATCCCACATGCTTTAAAACTGGCACAACCATTGGTAAAAGTTTCTCAGCAGAAAATAACAGCAAGAAGCTGGGAAAAAGCAGGGTGGGAATTGCTTTTCCCAGTGACTGTTTCCTCAAATGCATGTCAAATACAGCTTTAGATGTGGCAACTTCTTAGTGTCTAGCACATGAACAGCATTGGTCATAAAGGTATGCTTGTGCCCTGGCTACTTCTTTGTGCCAGCCAGATGAATGAGGGTTCATGCTGTAAGAATGTGCTTACTCCTTTGCACAGAGTGGTCTAAATGTCCTACAAAAGCCACTTTCTATGGCAACAGCAAACCAAGCACTGTAATTCTTTAAAGCCTAGCTTCCCTTTTTCTTTACGTTTTTATTATTATTATTGTTTGTTAATCACTGTGTGCTCAAAACCTTCAGGACATGATCAGTGGTCTCTTGTGCCAGGCTCTAACTGCAGGTCTGATGCTGGAAGCTGCATTTATGCCAGTGACACTGGCATTCCCTGCAACTTCACCATCTGCTGAGGGGCTGCACATGACTGGCAGCACCCCTGCAATGAGTACTTGACAGAGAAACCCACCACGTGAAAGAAGCATCACACGACTGAAATACACAATGTTCTTTTTACCAGGAGAAATTTTTAAGATGGGAATGTCTTTCTAACACAAACTGGAACCACTTCAACTTTTGCATTTTGTTTCTTCCTCTCTGAAACGACCCCAGGTTGGCCCTTGCATGGCTCTGCTTTGGGGGAACTACTTCTGCTGTGTATCTCAGGAGGCTGGGAGACATGGAATAAACCCCCTTTACCTCTTGCTAGTGTAGAGCACAGCAGGTGTCTGAAGCCCTGCTCACTGGGTCGGTGTCAAACAATAGCAGCCCCCTGGCAGGACCTTCCCTTCAGCTTCCACAGGACCCACTGGAATGGAGAGAGGGGTCTGTCCCTGCCCATTTAAAAAGCCTTGCTGTCACAAAGCCTCCAGCAATGTCATCACAAGAGCCTTCTTGCTGTGCTAACTAGGAATTCTCACTAATTGATATCACCATCGACTCCCCCAGCCCCAGAGGAAGCAGCAGGGGCTCAGTGCATGAGAAAGACACCATGCAAAGGCATTGCTGTGGGTTAATCAAGTACTAATGAGCTGAAAGATGGGCTCCTGCACTAGGAGAGACCATCAAAAACACAGCATGACTCCAGGCAAGAGCTGCAGCATCTTCAGTGCAGGGGTGCCCCAGCTGCAGCAAGGTCCCACCCGAAATGGCTGCACGGTTCCTGCTGTGTCCCAAAAGCTGCAATTTCCCGTGTGGGACAAGCAGAAAGCAATGTGGCATCACACTGTTTGTTGTAGTGTGGCTCCTCTGCACAAAGCTAGGGACCTTCCCTAGGAGGCATGAGGTCAGTGGTGATTTAGGCTTTCCCTCCTGAAGAGGTCCTGGACAGTCACTGCTCCCAGGGACTCCCAGCAGTGGCACATTACACTGTCATCTCTTTCAGTCTGAAATTATACTAACCCCAGCTATTCTTCAGAGGCCACATCTACAGTTTTAGCAAAGAGAGTTGCAGGAGGCTCTTGGGACCCCACTGTCTCCTCTATGCTCAGAAGCCTGCAAGTACAGCCACAGTGTCCTTCAGGACCGACGTGTCCAAGGGGGCTCAGGAACATTCATAGACTGCTTGGAGCACTCACAGGCTGGCCTCAGGAGTGGGTAACAATGCTAGGTGAGCTGAAGGTAGGAAACACCGGCATTTCTTCATTTGGTTACAGTAAAGACTTAGGCAATTAAAAAAAACCCAAAAAACTTCTCACAGCATACTTAGAATAAACAGTCATTCTTTATCATACAAAGGCACATCTTACATATAAATAATTTGAATGTCTCGCTCTTTCATGGAAAGTAACAGAGAAAAACCTTCAAGGTTGATACATGGGAGCTGGTATTAGAAATCACATAGGATCAACCCCAAATCCTGCATCCAAACACAGAGATATTTGGGTCCAGTGTTGACCTGTACAGCACTTCCCTCCCCTGCATGGAAGGAACTGAATCAGGACCCTCCTTGGAGGACCACCCCCATCATCAACCTCTGGGTACAGATCCCAACCCTGCAACCTTGGCCTCATCACTGAAATCCAGTCCTTTACATTTGCAGTAGTAAGAAAACCCAGTTTGTAGCTGCAGAAAGAGCTGTTGCCTTCTCCAAAGTGCATCATCTGTAGATTTTTGGAGGTGACTGAAATAACTAAGCCTACCCAAGCCGGATCCCTTGCAGCTATTTCTATTTCTTGGCTGACAAGCTGGCCAAAGCAGCAAAGCTAAGTATTGCACAGTCTAGCAACATCTGACTAAAACTGAGACCATTTATGTGGAACAGCAGTGTGGGAACAGAAAAGAAGCTAGTGGAGCAGCAAAGAGAAATTTGAGCTTTGATCAAGGAGACAGCAGCATTTGACTCTATCTGAGCTGGCAAGGAGATCCCATGCCAAAGCAAAATAAAACATGTCATTCTTTCCAGCAGATGAAATTCTGCCCAGCAGTTTGTTCCTCCCAGGATCATTTTGTGTGATCTCATTGTCTTTAAAGTCTTTCCCCTGAGGAAGCTGAACGTTTAATATAGACCACGGCGTTAGTATCCGGTACTAAATCAGTCCAGCTACTCTGGAATGAGGCGAGTGGGCGTCCTGGAAAGGAAATAAAAATGCAAGTTTAATAGAGGAGAGAGATTCACCTTGACCCATGCTATTTATTGCAAAAGGCACAGGAACACACTGCTTGCTCAATGGAGGGTCACTCTGCCCTGCCATAGATGTGTTTTGCACCCCCAGTAAATTCCAGATGCTCAGAGTGTGCACAAGGAATGCATCATCCAACCCCAGAGGCTTTTACATCTTGCTTTGCTTTACCAAGCAGCCTTAGGAGAGACCAGCACATTCCCACAGCTCTCATTAATCCAGCTGGAAAACTTAGGCACTTGGCATTTCAGCCACACAGTTCTGGCATCCTTGGCTGCAAAGATGAGCCATGAAACTGCAAGGAAGAAAAAAGTCAGGAAGGGAAGCACTAAAAACCTCAGGCATGGTGCAGGATGTCAGGGATCAGCACCCTAGCAAGGCACTGCAGAAAGGGTCCCTGTCCCAGTGCTTCTCCTGCATCCTCACCATGGTTTCAAGCAGGATTCCTTCCAGGCAGGCACTGCACAGAGCACCAAGAGCTGCCCTGTGAGGAAGCCAGATGTCCTGTGTTAGGCACAACTCACACAATCCATTGCTGGTGTGGAACTTGGTGGCTCAAAGAGATTTATGTTGCATCCGTGTAAAGGCTCTTACATAACTAGTTTGCCACATGCCAATTGCAGACAAGCCCTCAGAAAAGCTGCATTTTTGATAGTTTAGGGGGTTTTTTAAAATGTCATGTGAACTGACAAAACATGATCCTTCAGCATCATTGTGAGTGAAAACACTCATTTACCTCATTTAGTGTTTTACTTCAAGAAACAATTTAGCCCACGCTTGAAGTGTCAGCTAAATGAGATAATTTAAAATAATTCTGAAAACATGCTAACTGTAAGAGGCTATAATCAGAGCTAATTACAGGGACATTCTGGAAATCCCTTGGCTTGGGGCTTTCGTTTTGATAAAGGGGATAACAACTTGTAAGCTATGATTCTTTTAATTATAACAATAGTAACCACCTTCTTTTACACAGCCCCTTTCATCTCTAAAATCCCCACAGCTCTGCAAACTATACATACCACAGGGATTGTTTAGCCTAACAGCAAAGTGAAGCATCTCTGCAAGAAATGAGTAAGTGTTTAACAATACCTGGCAGTCCTGAGCAAAATTTGTAGAGGAAAAAAGGTGCAGAGGGAGAACATAATTGCTCTTGTGTCTCCTTACAAACACTCAGGGGATTTCTGGATGCCCACAGTGGCAGCCATCTGAGCTTGAGGATAAGGAAGGCAGCTTTTAGATGTGCCTGTAGGCTCAAGGCACTATGGAGGAAGGCAGCAGCACCTCGTGGCAGCACCCTGTCACCCTGCCTGTCGGGACTCAGGACATCTCTCTGGGTGTCCAGAGTTGCTGGGACCCCTGCAGGGGGCTCAGAGACCCTGGCACACAGCCCAGAACACCTGTGGGCTTGTTTATGACCCATGGAGAAAATTGCCAGCTTTGTATGAAGACCTGAAAGCCATAGAAGTTTAATAATAAAGTTATCACTGGGATTTTGGGATTTTTGGGATTTTTAGAGTGGGGGTTTTGTGAACAAGATGGAAGGACTTGGGCGTGTCTAGCCTTTCTTCCTCTTCTTCTCTACCTCCATCTTCTGCTGTGATGCTGGCACTTTGGGATTGGTTTAGAATAGAATCCCACTGTCTAACATAGGTGATAGGTATTGGAAAGTGATTGTAAACATGTTATACATAGTTTGTACTATAAAGAGACAACACCGCCCCAAGGGCGGTCAGAGTGCCACTGGCTGTCCTGCTGAGCAGACCTCGGCTGGGCAGGAGAAAAACTTTTATAGATAAGATACAATAAACAACTCTGAGAGCGAAAACTGAAGAGCTCCAACTCATTCTTTGAACGCACGGGCCGCAACAGAGACTTTTCACACATCTCAGGGCTGCAGTTAACTGCAGCACTCCCGAGGCCTGCCCAAGCTCACCTGTCCAGGTCCTGTGCTGGGTGACAATGAAGCTCTGACAGTGCAGCTGGGAGTTACAGATGGCAGCGGCCTCCTCGGCGCTGTGGATGGACAGCAGGCAGCCCAGGTGGCTGTAGGAGGGCCAGCACTTGTGGCCTTCTCCCTCCACCGTCCGGAAACCCTTCAGGGAGATGTAGTCTGGGGACAGAAAGAGGGTGTTTGGGAAAACACTCCAGGTGCACTCTCAGAAGCCAACCTCCAAACAGCCTCTCCCACAGCCCAGCCTCAAGAGCAGAAGCTTGTCACAGATCCAGCACCAAGCTACATGGGGCACGGACTGACCCACCCATCACGGTGCCACCCACAGGAACAGGAGACTGAGGAACCCCACTGGGGCAAAGGGAGGCCTGATCCTGCTCCTGACAAAAGACCTGACAAAGAGACCTGACAAGCCTGAGCAGGTGCTGTTCAGGCTATTGTTCACTGACTGCTAGGAGTCTCTCCCCACCTTCCCACACCTCTAGGATGGTGATCATTTTGGCACAGTACGAAGCCAATAGACAGGTGTTGTTGGAACATACCAGTAATTCCTGTTAAAGCTGCTGGTCCTTCCATGCAAATGACCAGATATCTTTGCTCATAACTGTGCAAATTATAGTTCTTTCACATGTAAAGAGATTTCCTTCTGCAAGCCACCATCACCCACCACCTCATGTGAATGCTCAGGAAAACACAAGCCACAGTAACCACTGGATTTTTGAAACTTCCTTTTGATCAGCCTCATCTCTACCACTGAATGGGTCCTTTTCAGAGGAATGAACCTCATAAAGGCACATCTATCCATCCACAGGTCCAACAGAAAGATCTTCAGAGAAAAGGAACTTAGAGGGCACGAAGGCTCCAGATAACCTGCCACACTCATCTTGGTGCTGTCACCTCCTCACTCTACATTTCCATAATCTGTGCTCAGCAGACAAAAGCCACACAGTCAAATTGGAAGTTTGAATATCAGCCCAGAAAACTGACCTGTTGGTCCAAAGGATAAGGATATCCCAAGACAGAAGCTACTCAGTTTGCTATCCCAGAACACTGATGTTCATTATGAGAAGAGTATTTAGAAGCAGTGCAAATACATGTCCATGCAGATTGTCTGCACTGCTTTTACTTTGCAAAGCAGCACAACCATGCATAGCTTCCATGGGAAAAAAAACTAACAAAAGCCTGATCAAAAAAAGACACTTTTGGTGCTTTTTCTAGTGACTATAAACTACCTAAACCTAGGGGAGATCAGAACTTGACCAGTTACCAAGCGCCTCGCTCCCTCAGTAGTTACTTAGAGCATTCAAAATCAACTACCTTTTAAAAGAAGAGGTCTTTTCTGAAGATAGAGCCCAGACTTGTACAGATATAAAACCTTTTCAAAAGCTCTCAGGGTCTCATTTATTCCATATCGTAAATCACCTACATTTAAGGAAAAAGATGACAAAGATAAACAATTCCACGAAATACCATTTGGAGACTTCTAATAAAGAAGTTTATAAATATTAGCTGGTACCTGTTGCATTCAGAATATCACTCAAAAGGGGCTGCAAAGCTGGTGGTGCAGAGTGTGGCAAAAGATAGGTGAAAAAATACCTGCAAAAAATCCCAAAGGCTGATTAGAATACAGTGCCTTCATTTCCCTGGTGATTAAGTTGTCTACATTTTCCCGTGACTTGATTATCCATATGCAGCTAGTAAATCTGCTTTGGTTACAAAGTTATGTTTGAGCACATCTTGGTGCCTCAGATGGTTCCTGTGAGTTGGGCTGAAAGCCTGGTCCTTGCTGCATGAAATCTACCTTGCAAAGCTTCATGCAATACAGCTTCCCCTCATTCCCCTGGGCCATTTTTGTATACTAAGAAATGTATTTCCCACACACACACACACACAAAAAAAAAAAAAAGAAAAAAAGAAAAAGAGACCTGTATAAAAGAAGACTCACACAAGATCCTTCTCTTGCCCTGAAAAGGTTTGACCTTCTTATTGCCCCTGAAAAGTCAGGATGACTCATTTCCTGACCCTTCCACAAAATTCTTGTCCTAGGGAACAAGTGCACAAGAGACAGGGGCAACTGCAAGGCTGCAATGATCTATGTAGGGATTTACCCTTTAGCACTGAATCCTGGAAATCCAGGCTCCCTTGCTAAGTCCTTCTGTGTAAATATCCAGCTGCCAAGGCTTCCCTCCAGGATGTGACCTGCCAAGCATCAGTGGTGAGCAAAAGTCCGTGAGTTTTCAGCTGTTGCCCACGTGAAGTGCTGCAGCAGCCTCACCCCCTTGCCTTTACCTGCCCTCTGCTCTCCCATAGGAGCCCACAGAGAGATTTGGAGATGAAGGGAAGCACTGGCCAGCCTGTTCCCAACAACAGGACTCAAAGCTGGTGGGGTTTGGCAGGTAGCCTGCACTGCCACTGCTTTCAGCAAGCACAGCCCGTGGATGTCAAGCACCAGGGTTTGTTTGGCAAACAGCAAATTTACAGGTGCAAGCTCTGGGGCAAGTTTTTAGAGGGTGTTGGGGAAAGGGAGCAGCAGAAGAAAGATGCCTTCATTCCCACCAGACAACAACTGCACTATTTTCCTGCCTTATAAGGAAAATAACTTGCTTCAAAGTGATTCTTAACAACCCTTTGACAGAGGTGAGGGGAATCACCACATGGAAGAAGAACAAGGTGCTAGAGGCTACATGGCAGGGCATGAGCTCAGCCACCCCAAATCTTCCCCCATGCAGCTGGACATACCGATACGCATTGAACAAATTCTTCTTTTCATTTATTCCTTCACATTTCCCAGCCATGGAGCACTTGAGAGGGAAACTTTTGGTAGGGAAGTCGATTGTGCAGTCATTATCTTCCTTGCAAGACAGCTCCTCGGTGCTGGCATCATCCATGTCTGTCACTTTTAGGTTTCCATCCACCATAACAAACTGCCTTGGCTGGAAATCCAAGAGGGCTATTGAACCCAGGGGGGAATGTGCCAAGTAAAACAGCAGTTTCACAAGACTCAGGCAAATCTGAGAAAGAGAAGATGAATATGCATGGAAAAAAACAGATGAAAAACAGCTATTAAATTGGAAGTAGAACAAAGGGGAGGGCATTCAATTAAATTAAAAGAGAAAAAAGGCATACAGAACTTAAAAGGTAATTATATGTATGCTACAAAATTTATTATCAACATTGCCACAGGATTTGACTGGTAAGTAGTTTAGCAACATTTTTTAAAAATGTGTGTACACAAAAAGAGACATTTACAGTTAGAAGAGCTAGAGGAGAAAGCTGTGAGGAAAACAATAGCAGTCTTCATGTTTCAGGAGCTATATTGATTTGCCAGTTGAAATCAGAAGGGTTTTTCCCAGTCTGGTATAAAATTAATAGATTCCCCTCCCTTCCCCCATGCTGCTCAATACAGACTGAGGCTCCATGGTCATTAATACCAGATTCATGCCTTGCTGCATCCCTCAGCAGTATGAATTTGGGCACACAATCATGCTTCTGAAGAATTAGTCAAGGCTTGCAATGTATTTATTGCCAGCTTTTTTGCTTTTATGACAACTTTCTGGCAGCAGTGAAAGGCCAGACAATACCTGACCCAGCAGAAAGCTTGGTAAACTATTTTTAAAAAAACAGAGCTAGAGAAGTGCATTTATACTGCACCAGCACTTTGCTCAAGCAGCATTTTGCAGCAGTTTTCATTCAGTATCAGGAGCCCTGGCATCAGACAAAGTGCATCCTCAGCTGGGTGTGCCAGGCAGCCCCACGTCACCCCTCGCCACTGCCGATAGCGATCTGTGCAGGCGCGAGGGATTTTTCCCTTGGAACAGCTCACACCATCCCTGGTATCTGATGTGGCTCATAACAAGGGAATCCCGTATGTTTAGACACCCTAATTAGGAAACAGGACTAGACAGTGCCAGGGTAAATTCTGAGTTAGTGTCTTCTGCAGTCAAGAGATTGTTAAAATCTCTAATGCCACCGTACCAAACCTTACCACCAGCTAATCCAGCGTCATGGGAGACTTTGGCACACTTAAGAAGATGAGGTGCTAGGAAAGCTACGTAGAAGCCAGTATGGAATTGAAGAAAGTAAAACTCCCCAAGCCAAGAGAAATGACTGTGGAAGCTCTGATGCTATTTTAACTTGTTTAGGGAATCAATCATAAGAATCCCAGCTTTGCATCCCACAGCTGAGCGAGCGGTTGCCACACTCCCCCGCTGGCTCAGATGGCAAGGCTCCCCTTCAACATTCAGGACCACAAGCAGACAGAAATTTTATTTTAGGACTTTTGTTGTGCTTTTATTTTGCCTAAAGCGTTTCTTGCTGACACTAAGATACCCTTGCTTTTTTACATGATGCCTTTTTTTTTGCCTCCTGGCACCCAAACAAGTAGTATTGAACCCCCTATAAGTAATTGAGCCCTTGAGGCAAACTGTAAAACAAGCTATAACCAAAGTAAGTGTCATGTCGCAAGTCATTTATATTCCTGGGGAGCATATGGGTCCCTGTGAAGGATGCCTAGGAGATGAACCAGATCTCACTAGAAGGGCTGCAATCCTAGCACCTGCAGCAGGACGAAAGCAATTTAGTAGCGATTTTACTACAATTCCTAAAGGGCCAAAATCAGAAACACCACATAAACACATGGTGAGGGTCAGCTTGCTCAGCTTGTTGCCTGGAACAGGTAACATACAGCAAACCACAGACTCGGAGCGTGGTGATGTGGCTTTCCCAAGTCAGACTCGGTAGCCGAAGGGCATCCTGACCAAAGCCCTTTTGCATATATATATATATATATATATATATATATATATATATATATATGTATATATATGTATATATATGTATAGGGAATATAAAGGCAAAACGAACGTTATCGCGTAATCGAAGGTATTAACGACCGCCCCAGCACCGAGTAGAATTTCGTGCCTATCTCCTCCTAGATGAAGTTCTTTTAACACCGCTCTACGGAGAAAGAAACTAACCGTGAGACACCAAGCTAGGGCTGTGTTAATGTGATTTTAAAGGAATGAAAGGAAACGATTTACAGACAATTTGCGGGATCAAACAGAGTGTCAGCAGGAGAATCCCGTTTGTCCCAGCGGTCACCACCGGCTCTTCGCCGGTTTGCCCAGTTTGTGGTCTAAAAGCGACTGATAAAACTCCTTTGCTTTGTTTTCTTACTTTAAATCTTTCCTCCCAGGGGGTCTGCAGGAGCTGAATCATCTCCAGCGGGGATCCCAGCTCCAGCATGGCTGTGACCCGTAGCTCAGCATCTCCGCTGTTGTCATAGCATTGGCCGTGCAGCTGCGGGAGAGCAGAAGCCACGGTCGGGGCGATGTCGCTGCCACTGCCAGCAGATCTCGGCCGCCCGAGGACAGCGTGGGCACCACGGGCGGACCGGCTCAGCCCCGGCAGCGATTCCCCCGCCCCGCCGTGGCAGCGCCTCCCGCATCCCCCCGCCCCGCCGTGCCGTACCTTGACGATGCCGGGGTGCTGCAGGCGCTGCAGCAGCGTCACCTCCTTGAGCAGCTTGTAGGCGGCCAGGCGGCGGCAGCCGGCCGGAGCCCCGTACCGCTGCACGCAGCGCCGCACCTCCCGGCCCGCCCCGTGCACCGACTTGAGCGCCACGGTGCCCCCGCCCGCCAGCGCCGCCCGCGCCACCACCTTGGTGAAGCCCCAGCCCAGCACGCTGACGGCCGTGGCCCGGCTCAGGTCGCCGCAGCCCAGCCCCGCCGCGGCCGCCGCCTCCCCGCCGCCCGCCACCGCCTCCAGCCGCCGCAGGTCGCGCCGCCTCTGCCGCAGCTCCTCCCGCAAGCCCGGCGGCAGCAGCAGCGGCGGCGAGAAGCCCGGCTGCGCCTCACCGCCACCGCGGCCGGCCGGCAGCGCCGGGAGCGCCAGCAGCGCCAGCAGCGCCAGGGCCGGCAGCGCCAGCAGCGCGGCCGCGCTCAGCCGAGCTCCGCGCCGCGCCCGCCCCGCCGCTGCCGCCATGGAGAGCGGGGCCGCCCGCCCGGCTCCCGCCGCTGCGCGCCCGGCTCTGCCGCTCTGCCGCCCGCGCTGGGAAGCCGAGCGCCACCGAGGGGGCGTGTCTGGCCCCCGGCGCCCCCACCCCGCCCGCCCGGCCCGGCCCGGCCCGGCCCCGCGGGCGCACGGGGCAGCGGCGGCACGGACCGCCCAGGGAGGGGAGGCGGCGGTGGAGCAGCCTTAGCGGTTCTAGAGGAGGTGGCCCGGGGTGGGAACCGGAGCTGCCGGGTGCGAGCGGCACATCCCCGCAGACGCCCGGCCACGCTCCAGCGACGGCTGTTCATAGCAGAACACGCGGGTTTCACGGGCGTGAATGTCGTCAGCCCTGCTAGAGGGTACCGCAGATTACAGCCGAGGGATGTACGACGGGTTAAAATCAGTGAGAACTGGGATATCGCGTTTCCCTGCCGCTTAAAACTCTCAGGTTCGGTTTCTAAGAAGCGCAAACACTGGCACTTTCTCTTATTAGAAGGATAAACCCTATGAGGTTGAATCAGTAATACACTGTCTGAGCACGGAATTGGAATTTTTTTCCAGGGGAAAAAAAAATCAAACCGAACCCGTCCTCCAGCAAAGCCAGCCAATGCAGGCAGAAAACACACATCTGTCACTTGTGGCGCGATGAGATCGATCGGCGCGGTGACACAGCTCAGGGTTGCCTTCTGTGGCACACGTGTACCCGCGCGGGACAGGAAAGTTTCCGACGCGGGTGCGAGAAGCAGGACAGGTCCCTGCCGCGGCTCTGTCACCGGTTTTAGACACGTGTCTGCACCGGGCTCTGCTGTGCAGAAAGCCAGTCAGGTTAGCTTAGGGCAAAGGCAGATGCAGTTTGTCTGCTTCTAATTTAGGCAATACACAGTTAACTCTCCTCACTGAGCAGCCCAAAACAACAGCCAAGTGGGTGGATTCAGTTTTTTATTTATGTTTATGCTACCGAGTTAGAAATTAAAATAATAGTCTGCCTCTCCACCTGGTCTACTTCATTTTCTGCCCCAGTGTTTTCAGTGGCATAACTACTAGACCCTCCCCAGAGAGGGAGCAGGTGATGCATGGCACAGATGGGGTTGGAAGACGCTGCTGCCCTGTTCCTGTGACACGGCCCTGCTGAGAGCCTGCAGCTTCTGGCAGGTCACACACGGGCACACAGTGGGTGAGATTGCACAGGGTGTGCCCTGGCTGTGATCAAGCAGTGGGGCCTCAGTCCTGCAGTGCTGCACTGCCCTTGGGCACATCTGCTGCATCTTCCCCCCTCCATGCACAGCAGTGCCAGTACCTGTCTCCTGGCTCAGTTATAACTCTCTGTGCACTGCTGGGGCCACAGCCACAAGTCACCCCTGCAAAGGAACCTTTGTGAAACATCCCTGAGAAATTCAACTTCAATGTCATGGCCAGTGGGATGGAGATTTCAGAGATTACAGCAAGTCAGCCAGCTATCATGACTGATGATCTCCAAGGCTATTTTAATAAAAATAATGTACATAAATGATTACTTTTAAATAGCTTCCTTCCCAAAAGCCTGCAGAAAGTTTCCCTTTCACTTCTTGTTGGTTCAATTCCACTGGGGCAGCCAATGAGACAGAGTAAAGTACCTCAGCAGAGCACAGCTGTTCAGTAAGAGAGCAGGAGAAATGAACTCTGAACTCAGGTCATTTCCAGATAGCAGAGTTTGAGGAGGGACAGCAAAACAAAAGGTTTTGCTGCTACATGTAAAATAATCAAGTGGAAAATCTCAGGCCTCCTGTGCTTACCCATGCACAGACAGGTCAGAAGCTGATCCCAGAGCAGCTCTTTCAGTAGCTGAATTTCCTTTGTTGCTTTTTAACCTTAATAGCTCTTTAATTACTGTTCTTATTTTCAAATCAAGTATACATCTGTGTCATAGTAATGAATATTCATTGTCACTGGGGAGGTATTAAATACAGTTTTACCTGTGTTTCCAAGGGAATAGATGCCAGCTGTGTGTACTATTATCCAATTTCAGCCTGTCCTCAACAAAACCTATTAGAGAAGACTCACAGATACATAAAAAAATAACAACACATGATTATTTACTTGCTCTACAGTAGCACTTAGGGATTCCTGCCAAGACCATGGCTCTGCTGTGCAAGGCTTTTTGCAGACTATGGCACAAGAGGTGGCCTTGCTTGACATAGCTGACACCTGAAATGGGAAACACAGCAAAGTGCTGCAGCAGGATGTAGCAGTGGAGTATGTGGTCATTTGAGTGTCTTTTAGCTTTTAGTCTTTTAGTTCCTTGGAGGTTTCTGCCTGAATTTATTGCCTTTGATAGCATGTGAGCTCTGTGTGGAGCAGATGGATACATGCTGCAGATATCTGCTTTGTCATTGTATGGTCTCAGCAGCAGAGGCTGCTTAAATCCAGGGAAGGCCTCCTGTTGCAGCTCTCATCATACAACCCCTCCAAGTGCAAATCCACACATGGTTAACCTGTGTGCTCCCCTAGGCCCACCAGTATCTTACACTTTCTTATCTACATTCATTCCTTTACAGGCTATAGATGGAGCAGAAGTTTGTCCACTGTTCAGAAAATATCACACTGTGCTATAATTTCAATAAGTGTGATTGAATCCCATGCTTCTTAGCTTTTTCTGGCTTCCAGTAAGGGCTGGAATGAGATTCCTCTCATGAAAAAATGTCCTGGCACTAATGCTAGCTGGGCTTCTTTCTCAAAACATGATGAGTCTGTACATGAAGTGTAGATGAAAATTTGGGAGTCTCCTGTGCTCCAGACTAACTGGGGTGAGAAAGCATCCCATTTTCCCATGCCAACACTGAGTGTTTGCCTTCTGACAGACAGACACCTCTGGGTACAATTTCCCTAGCTAGTTCCCTCCTATCCCAAGAGATCTAGGCACGAGCATTTCCCTGTTTCTTGTCTCTGACACTGATCTAGAAGGGAAAGGATCAAGCTCTTGGGTTAGCATAAAAAACCTGGGGAGAAATCCTGGGGGGAAAGTTTTCACTCTGAGCACATACATGAAAGTCCTGGGCATCAGTCCAGAAGAGAGAGGCCAGGAGTTTATAGGTCTGGGAGAGGGATCAAAGAAACCTGCAGCAGCCACTTCAGAACAGGAGGAAGCCTTAGACAGCTCTAATAAAGACTCTTGGGAATACATGTCACCACTGGTGCCCTTGCCTTTGAGGGCAGCAGTTACCCTGACTCCTGCCAGCTGAGCTCCTGTCTGCCTCCAGACAGTTCCTGTCCAGCTGCAAGTATGCACATCTGAGGCAGGGTGAAAGCCAGAGGAGCTGCTGGAGGGCAGGCACTTACCTGCAGAGTGCAGGGGCAGCCTGAGCAGCCTGGCTTTGCACTCCCATGTCAACTGGGCAAGCTTCTTGCATCCAGCCTCCAGGCATGCAACACTGGCCTGTGTGTGGCCATGCCTGGGTGGCACCCGGGAAAAAACCACCCCAGCAGCCATTTCCAGATTTCTCTTTGTATTGCCCAAGAGCCAGGAAAAGGGTAAGAAGAAAGTCAGATACAGGTGTGATACCTTCCTACAAGCAAGTGAACTAAGGAGACAGACCTTGCTCTCCTTTTTTGCCTTACCAGCCAGGAACCCCATCCAAGGGCTTGATGCAAAAATGATTGCCCTAGAACTGAAATTATGTTTCTCTTCCCCAGCAGGAAGAAAAACTGTGCTTTTCTGTGGTGTCCAAGAGAGCTGCAGTGCAGCTCCCAGGTGTTTTTACAGCCCATGGCAGGCACAGCTGTCTCCCTAGGCACTTCAGGTCCCAGGTTTATCAACAGGGTTTAACAAAGCTGATGCCAGCACCCAGTTGGCATATAGGGCACTAGGAAGCAGCTTTCCTGAACTTGATAGTTTTGGGGGTTTTTGGGCTGTTTTTTTTTATTTTTTTGGTCAGATGAAGGATGACCTCCTGGCTAGAGGTGCAGGATGAAACCATGAGAACACTGCAGCGCATTTGCATGGCCCCACAGGCCACCATCTCCTCCAGTATGAGGAGAGCCTGCCTTAAGAGAGGAGCTGTGAAGGCTGAGGTGTGCTGCTGCAGTTGGGTGCACCAGCAATGAGTGCTTGCCATCTGCTGGGAGGAAATCAGCCTGACAGGAGACACTCCTGGATGTAGGAAAAAGAGCAAGGCCTGGGCCAGTGGTCCTGGAAGAGCTGGATGGCATTTGGGCTTGCAGAGAGAGCAGGGAGAGTTCCTCTGAGGAGGGTAAGCACAAAGCAGTCAGGAAGCTCCAGTCTTGGGCATGTGAGGGCTGACAGAACTCACTGCAGAATTTTAACATGCTTACACCCTGTGAGCCCTCCTTGGAGGTGCCTGACCTCACTGCAGAGGGGGCAGAAGGCAGTTAGGTGTGTGTAACTAATGGATCTCAGCTAGTTCATTGCTGGCACTGAGCAGAGCCCTGGTGTGGTGGCATCTCACATTTCCACAGCACAATTTGCCAGGGTCTGTTGAGCTGCCTGTGTGCTGTTCATAGCATATGCCACTCCTGTCACAGCTTCCCCCCCACTCCCCACAGCCCCAAGACACTGCCCTGCCTTTGACATATTCCCAGGATTCAGGCATTTGTTATGCCACCAGCACATCCAGCCTGCCTGGCATGGGACATCCTGCATCAGCTGCTGGGAACACATGTCCAGCTGAAGAGTCCTCAGCCTTCCCAATGAGCTTTCATTAATGTCTGGGAGGATATAATCAGATTTCCAGCACAAGGTCTTGAAGAGCTGGTCTATTGATAGATAGATTAAACTTTCCCTTGCAATACAGGTACTGGTACCCCAGGTGAAAGTCGTATTATTACATTGTGAGGCGTTGATTGTATTACCAAAAGCAGCATCAACCTTCTGGGCCTGCTATCCCACTGCTGCACTGAATGAAATGGTGCAGAACAGCAGCAAGGTCAGGAAAAGCTCTGGGATGTTGCCCTCCTAATATGGAAACCACCACAGGAACCTGACAGTGTACAGACTG